GGGAGGATGGAGGCCGGTAGCGTCACGATTCGCGCCAGCGCTGTTCTTGTGAATGCTTCGGATTTGCTAGTTCCCCCTTGAGATCCTGGCGGTTCAATTTTTTCGAGCCGGGGTTTTTCGCTCGATTTCAGGCCACGGGACCCTCACATATCGATCCAGCTCGAAAAATGATGCAGAGAGATGGGGTCCGGGGGTCCGGTCTGGCGATGTGGCAATTTTTTCCAGCGGCGGATCTCAGGGCCAGACGGCGCCAGCGCGCCAGGGCAACACGGCACCAGCGCGAATCGTGGGGGGACGGAGCTGGTCACGGGCGTTGATTATCCAGCTGTCTGCCGCAAGTCCCGCCGCCGTGCCAGCCCAGCATTCTGGGTGGCAATTTGTTCGAAGGTAGGAGAGCCATGATGCGAATGAGGGTGAGGATGGTGATGCTGATGATGATGCCGACGATGATGACGATGATGATGATGGTGATAATGATGATGCTGCTGTGATTGTTGTTGCTGTTGTTGTTATGGTTTCTTGTTGTTGTTCATAGTGATGCTGATGCTGATGATTATGATGATGATAATGATGATGATGATGATGATGATGATGATGATGATGATGATGGTCGTGGTGGTGGTTGTGATGATGATGTTGATGTTGATGTTGTTGCTGATGGTGATGTCGGTGGCGATGATGCTGATGATGATGATGATGGTGATGACGATGACGAGGGGGATGATGATGATGATGATGATGATGATGATGATGATGATGATGATGACGATGATGACGATGAGTGTGATGCTGATTTTGATGATTCTGCTGTTGATGATGATGTCGATGATGATGATGATGTGGATGATGATGTCGATGATGATGCTGCTGATGATGATGCGGGTGCTGATGATGATGATGATGATGCTGATGCTGATTCTGATGATGACGGCGATGCTGATTGTACTTGTGGTGGTGGTGGTGGTGTTGACGATCCTAATGAAGCTGATGCTGATTCTGCTGATGATGATGCTGTTGTTGATGATAATATCTATGCTGATGGTGATGCTGATGCTGATTATGATTATGATGATGATGATGGTGATGATGATGGTTATGAAGATGCGGATGAGGATGATGATGTTGAGGATGACGATGATGCTGATGATGATGGTAATGGTGGTGATTGTGATGAGGATGCTGATGATCATGATGATGCTGATTCTGATGACGATGAAGAAGAACAGTAAGGTGTAGTAGTTGTTGTGGTTGCATTCTCATTTCTGAAGAATAATTATTGTTGATCCCCCGTCACCGGTGCATATTGTTTTTCTCAATCGAAGTGTGCCCCTCGACGCTTGCACCCTGTTTTTTGACAGGGAAAGTCTTCCTGCTCAAACTGGCCCCCTGGCCCCCGGGTGACAACAACAACGGCTCCCGCCTGAGACTTCCTTACAATTTAGGCAGGACCCCCGCTCCCGCCCGAGACTTCCTCTTATTTTATTCAGGAATCGCGCTCTCGCTTGGGACTTCCTTACAAGCCATACAGACATCGCTCTCCCGGAGCTCTGGAGTCGCGCTCTCGCTGGAGACTTGCTTGCAACTTACTGAAGAATAGCCTTACGTTTGATTTTTTCCGCAATTTGCCAAAGCGCCGCGCTCCCGACACCCAGGCACCCAGGAGTCGCGCCCGTTGTAGCCCCATGTGCATGCCCTTCGTGGCCCCGCTGTCGCCATTTGTGTCCCCCGCATTGTCCTACGTGGCCCAGTTGCTACCCTCAGTGGCCCCATCGTTGCCTTCTGTGGCCCCGCATTATCTGCACTTCGTGGCCCCCGCTCGTTCGCACTCTTCGTGGCCCCATACGCATTCCCTTTGTGTCCCCGCTGTCGCCCTTCGTGGCCTACTTCGTGCCCTTCGTGGCCCTGCTGTCGTTCTCTCTCGCTCTCGCTTTCGCTCGTCGTCGCCGTCGTCGCCGTCTTCTTCGACGTCGTCGTCGTCGTCGTCGTCGTCGTCGTGGTCGGTCCCCTGTCCGTCCCTCTTGGGGTCGGGTCGACGGTCCGCGGCCGCCCCGCCGATCAGCGCTGCCGCTGGCCAGGCCGACGGTCCGCGGCCGCCCCGCCGCTTGCCGGGGCCCGGCCTGCAGGGAAGAAAGGTATACCCCCCAAAAGGGGTTCGATCGAAGACGAAGAGGGCGGGTATCGAGGGTTTGGGAAATACGCGTTATTGGACACTCGAGCATATAAGGGCGAACAGTCTTAAATTCATTGCTGTTGTTGTTGTTGTTGAACTTTTCTTTCTGAAACGTACTTTTTGTTGATCCCCCCGCCTGGTGCACATCGTATTTTTTTAAATTGAAGTGTCCCTCCCGGGGCTCGCACCCTGTTTCTCTGATCAGGGAAAGTCTCGAGCGTCAATTTGCGCCCCTGGCCCCCGAGTTACAACAATGGCTCCCGCCTGATACCTTCTTACAAGTTATTCCCAAATCACGCTCTCGCGCGGGATTTCTTCGCAATTTATGCAGCATTCGTGCTCTCGCGTAGGATTTCCTCGCAATATATTCAGACGCCGCGCCCTGGACATTCAGGAATCACGCTCTTGCTTGGGCCCATCTCACGATTTACTTGGGAATCGCGCTATCGCTAGAGATTGCCTCGCGATTCATGCAGGACGCACGCTTCAGCAACCCGCTTGCTCGCCCTGGCCGCCTGGGCCCGCCTTCCCGACCCAGGGTCTACCCGCCCGATCTACCCGTTTGGTTCTGCAGCGTTTCTTCTGCTCCTAGCCCCTCTCCTGCTACTCGTCTCTCTCGTGCTCCATCCTTCTACCTCCCCCATTGTCCCTTTCTTCGTCCTCTCTTCCCCTGCCGTAGGGCATATATATATATACGGGTCTGATCGAAGACGAAGCGGGCGGTTATCGAGGGTTTGAGATATACGTGTTGAATGACACGCGCGCAGGTAAGAGCGAACAATCTTCATATTGTTCTTGTTGTCTTTGTAGTTGGTGTTGTTGATAATGATGATGCTGGTGGTGGTGATGCTGATAATGCTGGTGACGATGACGATGATGAGGGGGGTGATGATGCTGATGAATATCGTGATGCCGGCGATGAGGATGCTGATGTTTAAACTAGTGATGGTGACGATGATGGTGACGATGATGATGATGATGATGATGATGATGATGATGATGATGATGATGATGATGATGATGATGATGATTATGATGCTGATGATGATTGTGGTGGTGGTGATGATGATGACGACGACGATAATGATGATTAGGAGGACGATGATGCTGATTGTTGTTATAACTCTTCTTATCATTATAATTATTATTACTACTACTATCATTATTATTCGTCTGCTGCTGCTTATGATGACGATGATGATGATGACGATGACGATGCTGATGCTGATGCTGATGATGATGATGATGATGATGATAATGATGATGATGTTGGGGATGTAGATGCTGATGCTGATGCTGATGCTGCTGCTGCTGATGGTGATGATGATGATGATGATAGGGATTCTGATGATGATGATTGTGGTGGTGGTGATGATGACGACGATGATGATGAGGATGATTCTGATGCTGATTTATGTTATTAATTTCATTCATTTATTATTATTATATACTTATTTGTATTCTCATTCTTACTACTACTACTGCTACTACTACTACTACTATCATTATTTTTAGTCTGCTGCTGCTGATGATGACGATGATGATGACGATGCCAATGACGATGATGATGATAATGATGATGATGATGCTGATGATGATGATGATGACGATGATGATGATGATGATGATGATGATGATGATGATGATGATGATGATGATGATGATGATGATGATGATGATCATGATGATGATGATGATGGTGGTGATGATGATGATGATGATGATGGTGGTGATGATGATGATGATGATGATGATGATGCTGAGGAGGAGGAGGATGAGGAGGAGGAGGAGGAGGAGGAGGAGGAGGGAGGAGGAGGAGGGAGAAGATAAAAGCCGTTACATGTGTCACCTTTCGTCTTCACTATTGGGAACGCCTTACGGCCGGTGCCGCCGACCCTGAAGGGGGACGACGACCGCGACGGTGGCGTCTGCGGCGACGACGACGCTGACGTGGAGCAGAGTCCTCAGGGACGCTTCGTGGGGCCTCTCTGGAGCGCGCTCGTAGGCCTTTGGGGGGCAGTTTTGGGGCCTCTTGGGAGTATCTTGGGGGCCTCTTGGGAGCCTTTTGGGGGTCCCTTCGGGCTTCGCACTAGCGGGTACTTCTGGGAAACTTGCCCAAAGTTGCCACTTTGGGGTCTCTTTTTGGCGTTGCAGCGTTGCCCACATCGGGGAGGATTGGGTTTGCTGGGTCGCTGGCCACAGTGCCCGTTGGTGGGGTCCCCGTTAGAGGGGCGCTGAGCCCAGGGTCGGTGGAGGCGCCCTCCTGGCAGAAGCCCAGGGGTGGGCGCACGGCAGGCTCCTTCGGCGATGGCGCGCCAGCGACGCCGGCGAAGGTGCGCTTTAGGTTGAACTCTGGCGACGCGGGAGCACCCGAGGGACACGGTGACGCCACCGGACCCGACGTAATGCAACCTGGAACGATCGGGGCCGCGATGGATTCAACCCGCGATCGATCCAAGGTTGAGCGATCGACGCGGTGTCACAAGCCTTTGCGCGACCCGACGCCGCGCGAGTCTGCCGTGCGTCATGTACACCGATGCACCTCGGGCCGAGGGCCGGCCAGGGCCAGGGTCGGTGCTGGTGCACGGTCTGCGCCAGCTCGTCCTGCGAGGCGGCGGCATGAACGATGCTGCAGCATCGTGCGGGATCACGACCAGGGCCCCTGGACCACCCCCTTTCTGCCGCATCTTCTCGAGCCGGATGGATCCGCGAGGGTCCCGGAGCCCGAAGTTGTGTGAGCACCCTCCTTGTGGCCCTCTAAGACGTCGCCAGACTCTTGTCACGATCCCTTCAGGACGACACCAGGCGGAGGCGGTGCGGCGTCCCCTTCCCCTGCATCCCCGACGTGCCTTGCCTGCCCTGAGGGGGGCCGCGCGCGGGGTCTCGCCTCTTCCTTCTCGTCGTCGTCGTCGTCGTCGTTGTCCTCCTCCTCCTCCTCCTCCTCCTCCTCCTTGTCTCCTGCTCCTGCTCCTCCTCCTCTTCCTCCTCCTCCTCTTCCTCCTCCTCCTCCTCCTCCTCCTCCTCTTCCTCCTTCCTCTCTTGCGCATCACCGACGTGCCTTGCCTGCCCTGAATGGAGCCGCGCGCGGGGCCTCGCCTCGCCCTCTCGGGCTCCTCGTGGCGTGTCCCCTCGTCGCGATCTCGCCTCCGTGCTCTCGTCCTCCGCTCCGCCGTGCCCTTGTCCTCGCGCTCCTCGTCCTCGTCCTCGTGCTCCTCGTCCTCGTCCTCGTCTTCTTCCTCCGCCTCTTCCTCCTCCTCCTGCTCCTCCTCCTCCTCCTCCTCCTCCTCCTCCGGCTCCTCCTCCTCCTCCTCCACCTTCTCCTCCTCCTCCTCCGCCTCCGCCTCCTCCTCCTCCGCCTCCTCGTCCGCCTCCGCCTCCGCCTCCTCCTCCTCCTGCTTCTCCTCTTCCTCCTCCTCCTCCTTCGCCTCCTCCTCCTCCTCCTCCTCCTCCTCCACCTATTCCTCCTCCTCCGCCTCCTTTTCCTCCTTCTCCGCCTCCTCCGCCTCCGCTTCCGCCTCCTCCTCCTTCTCCTCCTCCTCCTCCTTCTCCTCCTCCTGGTGGTTCAAGTCCTGAGCACACCGCGGGAGTAGCAGGACTCAGCATTGCCATCCAGGGAAGGCCCTGGGTGTTCGGGCTCAAGCCTTCGCTTTTGCCCAGTGCCAGCCTGGTCAGCCCCAGGCAGCGGCACAACCACGTCCCGCACTAGTGCCACCTGCTGGGCCCATTTCTTGTGTGTGCTGCGGCGCAGAGGAGACAGGAGATGGCGTCGGCCCAGAGGAAGTATGTCGTCTGCTCGAAGCGTGGCTGTAAAGGGTGGGCTTGGTGTTCTGCTAATGCTCGCCATTGCATCCAGTGTGGCAATCGATTCAAGCAGCGCTCGGAGTCAGCTGCGTACGCAGATCGGCCAGCAGGGGGAGGCGGAGGAGCTCTGGAGGATCGGCCTGTCGACCAAGAGCCACCGTCCACGCCAGGCCGCTGGAGACACGGCTCCCGCGGGCCCGAGCTTCCCCCTGGTCTGGGCCGCGGAGGAGGTCGAAAGGTCACCTTCGCAGATGATGACACCCACAGTGAAGATCCCGTGGCCCTGGCCCAAGCACAGGTCACGTTTTGGAAGAAGTGGAAACCAGACGGAGAGGAGCACAAGTCGGCGCTGGGCAAGCTCAAGTTTGCCAAGGCGCAGGCCCTTTCCCCCAAGAGCTTGGAGCAGCAGGCTCAGTCGCTGTCAGATCAGATGCAGGTCGCGCGCCAGAAGCTCACGGCCCAGAAGAAAGACGCGACGGAGCTTGTGCACACCATCGTCGAGGCCAGCGAACACCACGGCAAGCGGGTCGAGGAGATTGAGATCAACACCAAAGAAGTGCAGTCCCTGGAGTCTCAGCTCAACCTGGCCACCCAGGCAGCAGCGTACGAGGCATCCAAGGATGAGGATTTGCTCACCACTCTCCAAGGCATGCTGGCAGCTCGCATGCCCGAGGGTGGAGAGGCCCACCAGAACTACGAGCTAAAGTATCGGAGCTGGCGCAGCTGTTCGACAACATGCAGCACCAGCACACCATGTATGTGGAGACCCAGGCGAAGGGCGATGGCAAGGGCAAAGGGTTTCAGCCAGCACAGGAGCCTGACGGCTTCCCCGCAGTTGGCGAACGAGCTGATGAGCCAGAAGCGCCACAGCCCATTCCAGGCCAGCATGTCCCGACGCTAGTTGACGACAAGGAGCTGGAGGAGACGCCGCTCGCCATCGCCGCCGAAGCGACCCCGATGGACGAGTCGCAGGGCCGTGTGCGTGCTGCTGCGGCAATGGAGCAGGTCGCCAACGGCATGGCCGAGATCCAGGGCGACGGCGGCCCCGAGGCCAAGAAGGCCAGGGCGGCTGCAGCGGCCGCCGTGGTCGCAAGTGAGGGCCCGTCGCCAGGGTAACCAAAATTATAAGCTAGCCACCATCAACGGATCGTGCCGGCCTGCCGTTCGCAAGTTTTGCAATCACCGCAGGCCGGCGCAGTCACCATCGTTTGTGCCCAGGAGTGTAAGTTAGCCGAAGGCGATAGCATTGTGCGCCAGATACAATGGCGCGCGTCTCAAGGGTGGCTGGCCTACACAACTCCTGCTGCAGTGAACCCCAACAATGAGCTGATTTCGGGAGTCCCGATTTTGATTCGGGATGGTTTGGACCTGGGGGTCCAACCTCTGCTGATTCCCTCGGGGTGTGAGCCCGCTCGTTTTGTCTGGGGTGATCCTGGAGCTCCCAGGGATCCCAAAATTCGCTTTGTGTCCTACGTATTTCCAAGCTGCTGCAGGTCTCTCAGAGACCAATTTAAACGTCTTGGCCACCATGGGCCAACTTCAAGATGACTTAGCCCATCAAGTTCTGGTCGCGGGGGATTTCAATTTGGCCCCCACCAGGTTGTCCCAGGCCGGGTTTCTGTCCAGGTCCACTATGGCCGTGCTTGCACCCCCGACAGCCACCTACAGAACCAAGAAGACCAAGTCGGCTATCGACTATTTTGTCTCCAGCCAAGGCCTCGCGCCCTGGCTCCAGAACCCCCGTGCCCTGGCCTCCTGCCCTCTCCTCCCTCATAGGCCCGTGCTGTTGGATATCGTTGTCCAGGGTAACTTTAATACCCCCTCGCTGCATGGTCCCCAGAAGCTGCCCGCCCACATCCCAGTGGGCCCGCAATTACCAGAAGTGAGTTGGCACCAGGCTGCGGCGATTATGGATTATGCTTCGCAGTTGATCGAAGATGCTCAACGGCCTCTTTCCGATCAGCAGTCGACTGCGATCCTGGACCACGTGTGCTGCACCTTGGCCCAGGACTTGGAAGCTGCAATCAGTAGGGGGGCCAACGCCCCTATTAAACCCAGTAAGTTCCCCAGGGCTCACCCCCCTCAGGTTCTTGAGGTCCCCGCGGGGGCTAAAGCGGCTCGTAGCAGATCCAAATGGGCGGCCTATGCGGGTCCGTTAAGATGGTTGTGTAACCGAGTTCAGGAATTCAGGCGCTGCGTTCAGGACTGGGATTTGCTTGAGTTTCAAGAAGTCCTGGACAGCCTGGAGGATTGCCCCGAGTTGTTCTCCACCGCGGTGTCCCTCAAGGAGGGGCTTCAAGATATTCAAGTAGCCGCAGGTTTGCTACTTATTGATTTCCAGGCTGGCGTTCTAGATCAGACGTTGGCGCTGCAAGTTCTAGACGAGCTGCTAAAGCAGATCACCGAGCTCCTGCGCCAGGAGCAGGCGGTGGATAATGCCGCAGATGGGAGGGCTTGGAGGGAATGTGTTCGGCCTAACATGAAAGGGGGAATGGGGTGGGCTCACAGATGGTCTAAACGGCTGGAGGCCTGGCGCCCGACGTCTGTGCAATGCCGGTCTCAGTGCACAGGCAGGCCCCAGCATATATTGCAGGTCGAAGCTGATCGTCTAGCTAAGATATGACAAGTTCCCCCCGAGACCCCACCCAAACTCGTTCCTGATACCGATGACCGTGTCGCCTTGGGTCCGATTACCCCCAGGAGACTTCGGCAAGTTGCGCGTCACTTTCCTCGCGCCACGGCTTCGACCTGGGGCGGTTTTCATCCGCGGCGCTTCAGTATGTTGAATAATGAGCAGGCGGAGATCGTCTGCCAATTTATCGCTCTGATCGAGAAGGTTGGTCACATGCCGACTCAGCTCCAGGGGATTGTCTCAACGCTTATGATTAAACAGAAGCAACAGCATACTCCAGCCAGTCAGCCCTCGTTCAGGTCTATTGGCATGCTACCAGCGCTCTATCGTGTCTGGGCCCGCCTTAGGAGGTCGGCAGCCAGAGGGTGGGAAGCCCACCGTCGTCGCCCTTATCTAGCTCACCAGGCTGGCCACTCTATTGTTGAATTGGTCTACAAACAGTCCTTGGAATGCGAGTTCAACAGCTCAGCCAAAGATCAACAATACAGCGCCCAGGTCCTCTACGATCTATCTAACTATTACGAACATGTTGATCGGCCGTGTTTAGCGCAGCGTGCTGTTGAGTCAGGTTTTCCATTTTGTTTACTTCGCATCATTATATCGCAGTATGCCAGCGAACGTATCGTTTCTTTGCAAGATTGTGCGGTCAGCGTCGGCAAACCTTGGCGGGGCATTGCTGCTGGCTGCAGTTGGACCACGTACCTTGTGCAGATGTATGTGCTCGCCCCCTTGGACATATGGGCACAGGCCCATAGCCACATTAGACTCGCTATGTTCATTGATGATTTGCTACTACAGTGCCACGGTCGCAGTTCCAGCCTCATCGTTAGTCAGTTGAACATGGCCGCCAGATCGATGGCGGATTGCATCATTGCATCATCCACGGGTTTAAGTGCCATCTTGCCAGCAAGAAGACCCAGGTGCTAGCGTCTCACCAAGCGTTGCAGGACCAGCTCAGGTCCAAGCTAGGGCCTCTGGCAGGTCCGAACCCTGATCGTTCGGGATCCAACCTGGGTGTTGAAACTGGGGCTGGCCGCCCCCAGAGAAGGTGGGGAAAGTTTCGAAAACTTACGGAGCGTCTTGACAAGATGCGTGAAAGACTTAACAGGGTCCGCATGCTAACACGTGCTGGGGGCAACACCCACAAACTGTATAAGACTGGCCTGGAAGCGGCCGCCATTTTTGGAGTTGAGGTCACTGGCATCAACGGCACTCAACTTGAATCTGCTAGGCCGCAGTTTCTGGCTGCCGCGGGCCCGACATGCTCGACCCGCAGCCGCAGCTTGGCGTTGCTCATCCTCCAGGACCCCTTGTGGAAAGCGGCCCTCGGTCCCGCCCTGATGTGGCATCGTTTAGTTTGGGGTGCGAGCGCCCGTCTGCACTTGGCTGTGGCTAGCCTCCAACAGCTGCGGGCTTGGGTTGAAAACATCCTCCCGAGGGTTGCTAAATCGCGGGGCTCTTCCAGCCCCCCCCTCAGTGCGGCGGTGCTGTCGCTGAAGCGTATTGGTTGGAAGTTCCAGGGGCCGTTTACCTTTGTGACTGCCTCAGGTCTTGAGTGCCCACTCCCAGGGCATTCCCCCGCCTTCCTCCAAAAGCTCATGGGGCACGACTGGCACGGCCAGCTCGCCTCCAAGGCCGCCGTCAAGCTCGGCCACGCGGACGCTCAGTTAGACGTTGCTGCTGATCGGATGGCTCTCTCGTCAGACCTTCATGGGCACCAGAAAGGCACATTACTAGCCTTCCTCACCCAAAGTATCTGGACCATGGAGAGAGCCAAAGCAGCAGGATATGAAGTTCCAGTCGGCTGCGAGTGCGGCCATTATTCGGACAACCTCTGCCGCAGATTACTGCGCTGCCAGAAGACAGAAGTTCTCAGAGCCACTCACTTCTCGGATGCGGAGCTTCAGCGTTTAAGAGAGCCCCCTCCCCAGGCCCCCCTTTTACGTCTTGGGTTCCAGCTGGTCCCTGGGTTCCGTGGAGTGCCTCCTCCTGGATCTGGTTTGGAGTTTGTGGAGTTTGGGGAGTTGTGGTGTGCTCAAGAAGGTATCACCCCTCAACAGGCCTTCAGCGAGGGGGAAGTGTATATAGATGGCAGTTGCACCAATCATGGGCACTATGTGCTCAACGCTGCTGGTTTCGCTGTAGTTTGTTTCAGAGAAGGTGAAGTTTTTGCCCATTTCAGTGGCCGGGTCGGCCAGATGCTTTTACAAACGTCGGGAGCCGCGGAGCATTTGGCTGCAGTCGCGGCCAGTCTCATGTCTAGCAGTATTGAAGTGATTTATTCTGACTACAAGGGAGTACTAGTGCTGCATCAAGGCACCGAGTACCCCCGTCGCAATCTGCGGGCTGGTCTTAAAGTCTTGGCTGGCAGGGGGCTCTTTCCTTTAGGGTCGAGGCTCCAAAAGGTCAGGGCCCATCAAGAAACACGAGCCCTACCCGTAGGCAGCGAGGCCCGTCGAATGGCGGAATGTAATGATGCTGCGGGTCGCTTAGCGAAGGCCGCAGCACGCAAGGGCGTTCAGCCCAGCGAAGATGAGAAGTGCAATTTCCCCGAAGATAGGACGTTTGTTATTAAATATCTCAAGTACGTTGCTCAGGCTCTGGGAGAGTGGCCCGCGATAGCCCCCAGAAAGAACAAAGCTTTGGCCGCCCCAGAGAAGAGCCTCTCTCCCCCCGCGGGTGCTGCCTCTGCCCTGACGTCGTGGGCGCCGCCGTCGTTGGTCGTGCCTCCTCCTCCTTCCCCTCGTCCGCCTGTGCCTCACGAGGTCCCTCGTGGGCCCAGAGTACCTAGGAGGTGTCATGCGTGGGCATTAATTGCGCAGTATCATCGGTGCATTCTGTGTAGGGTGCAGACGAAATCAACCAAACAGAGAGCAGCTCTTGCGGCCAAGGAATGTCCGGGCCACTGCAAGCAGCTGTCAGACCTCGTGCATGATAACAAAGGCCATGATTTATTTTTCGATGAGCACCTTGAACATCCCACGAGTATTCTGGTTTGCCATACGTGTGGATCCTACTCTGAAGGGTTGGGTCGAGGGCTCACTGGAGGCTGTGGCACTCGAGTGAGCCACCAAGGAGCGGCTACTCAGCTCGCCTGTGCCCAGGAGGGTCGTGATCCCAAGGGTTCTAAGTCTTCCCCGATCATATATAAGACCCCCGCAATTCCCCTGGCCAGATTGGTGCGCGAAGAGCAGGCCAAGGTCAGTGGAGAGGAGGCACCAAACCCTCCATAGTCAGCCGTGCTCTCTCACGGCGGACATCGAACACCCCATCAGCCATGTGCGTGTCCTCCTCCTCCTGCTCCTCCTGCTCCTCCTCCTCCTCCTCCTCCTCCTCCTCCTCCCTCTTCTTCTCCTCCTCCTCCTCCTTCTCCTCCTCCGCCTCCGCCTCCGCCTCCGCCTTCTCCTCCTCCGTCTCCTCCTCCTCCTCCTCCTCCTCCTCCTGCTCTCCTCCTCCCCTCCTCCTCTCTCCTCCTCCCCTCCGTCCTCCTCCTCCTCCTCCTTTCTCCTCTTCCTCCTCCTCCTCCTCCTCTCCACCTCCTCCTCCTCCTCCGCCTCCCTTTTCTCCTTCTCCGCCTCCTCCTCCTCCGCCTCCTCTTTCTCCTTCTCCTCCTCCATCTCCGCCTCCGCCTCCGCCTTCCTCCTCCCCCGCCTCCTCGTCTCCTCCTCCTCGTCTCCTCCTCCTCCTCCTCTCCTCCTCCTCCTCCTCCGCCTCCGCTTCCGCCTCCGCCTCCGCCTCCTCCCTTTCCTCCTCTCCCCTCCTCCTCCCCTCCTCCTCCTCCTCCTCCTCCCCTCCTTCTCCTCCTCCTCCCCCTCCTCCTCCTCCTCCTCCACCACCTTCTCCTCCTCCTCCGCCTCCCTTTTCTCCTTCTCCGCCTCCTCCTCCTCCGCCTCCTCTTTCTCCTTTTCCTCCTCCGCCTCCGCCTCCGCCTCCGCCTCCTCCGCCTCCTCGTCTCCTCCTCCTCGTCTCCTCCTCCTCCTCCTCCTCCTCCTCCGCCTCCGCTTCCGCCTCCGCCTCCGCCTCCGCCTCCTCTTCCTTTTCCTCCTCCTCCTCCTCCTCCTCCTCCTCCTCCGCCTCCTCCTCCTCTCTTGAGCTTGCGGTGGTCGTTGGCAGTGGCGTGGCGGCGAGCGCCGTCCGCAGCACTCTGGAGCAGCTCATGGATGCTGGCTGCAGGTGGAGCGCCTGCGGTGCAGGCGCCATGTTTGCCCCCGTCTGATCTGAAGCGTGCGTGCCGTCTTTCCCCTCATCCTCCTCTTCCTCCTCCTTCATGCCGTAGCAGTTTTTTCATGGGATGCCAATGTTGCAGCCCATCGTGCCCACTCGGTCTTCTGGATGCTCGGCTGTGTGTGTGTGTGCGTGCGTGTGTGTGTGTGTGTGTGTGTGTGTGTGTGTGTGTGTGTGTGTGTGTGTGTTTGATGATGATTTACCTCCGCTGCTCATGCCGGGACTCATGCCGCCGATTGGGAGGCCCCTCGGTTTTCCGAGGTGGCCACCCCGACAGGGCGCAGTCTCGATTCCTCCGAATCGACTCCGATCTGACGTCGATCTATTTCGATGTTGGTTCGATTCGATCGATTTTCGACTCCTCTGACTCGATTCGACCCGACTTCGATCGACTCCGATTCCAGTCCGACTCGACTTCGGGTTCGGATCTGGATTCTGGTCTTTCGATGTAGGCCTCACTGGCCTGCCGATCTCCGCCGAGTCGGTTTCTCGCGACCTGGCCGCCGATATCCGCCGATCCTATTCGTTTCGATCGCTGACTCTTAGGAGGGGAAAAACAGACAGACACATTTAATCGTCGATCCCCAGGAAAACATGGGAACACATGGGACGTGGGGGGGAAGACGAACACCCATCAAACATGGACAAATATGGGGAATCCTGGGATTTGTGTGTAGTTTATTTGTGTGTCCCTGGGCTCCTTCCAATTCGACTTAACCGCCGATGCGATTCTGGAATCCTCTCGTCACCCCGATGTGGCCGCCCCTGCGGCTGTCGCCTCCGCGGCCCGCCCGTCGGTCCTTCGACCACTGTGCGGCTCCGGCGTGTGGTTCTGGCGTGGGCCAGGCGCGGCTTCGGGTGAGATGCGCTGCCGTGGCCTTTTGGGGCAATGCTCGGAGGAGGAGAAGGTACCCATACCTCTGCCCTTCCCTCGTGTTTCCCCTTCTTGGGCCTCCTGGGCAGCCCCCGTCGCCACCGCCGGATTCGCTTCGGAACCCTGGTCAGAACGCAATCCTGGGAGAGGCCTGGGGAGCAGCGGTATCGGTAACTTTTGGTTTCCCCAAATGTCGGGGGGGATCCGGCTCACGGGGGGGACGCGTCGACCCCCGATCGCCCACTGATCGCCGATGGGGGCCCGATGGCCCCAGCCCGCCCAGGAACGTGCCGGTTCGGCATCGGGGGCCCATCACCGATCGATCGGCGATGCATCCCCGATTCCAGGTCGATGCTTCCCCCCCTGAGCTGGGGCCCCCCCCCCTCTGGAGTTTTGTTGCCCCTTGTGGCTCCTGTGGGGCCAGACGCGGCTCTGAGTGAGGTGCACCGCCATGGGCATGCTGTTGGCCGTCGCTGGCAGCGGCTCGTCCTGGCGCGTGCAGACCTCGCTCGACATTCCTGCTCCTCCTGCTCCTGCTGCTGCTCCTCCGGCCTCCCCCCCTCCCTTCCCCCACCCCCTCCCTCTCTTCCTCCTCCTGCGCTTCCTGCTGGTGCCGTCCCTCTCTTCTCCGCCCTCCCCCCTCCTCCCCCCTCTCCTCTCTCTTCAAATGTTCTTTTGCACCAGGTGCAAGTCACATCACCCCAGAGGCGGCATGGTGAAAGGCTTCGGGGGATGAGTGTCACTGACATCCCGCCCTCGTTGCTATGGCGGGGTGGTTTGCCTTCTGCGCTCGCCGCCACCCACTCCCCAGGAGAGCCCGCATTTCGGTTGCGATCGATTATGTCCTTGAGTTCTTTTGTACTAATATGATGCCCATGGTGACGGTCTCCTCAGGTGACGTCCTCGATGCGTTTTAATATGTTGCTGTCTATGCTCGAGTCCGCGTGGAGTCCCACCAGTTGTTCGACACCACATGGCTTGTCCAGCGCAATGTTTTATTGCGGAGGCTTGCATGCTGTCGGCGGCTGCCGCGAAGATTCCCTCAGTCGGCCGCGCGCCCGGAGGGGGCGAAGTGACAGGAGGCAAGCCTTCCCAGAAGGCGGCGGGGCTTCGGAGAAGGCTTAGAGAGCTGCTCAGAAGGCCAGAGGCCTGCTGAGCTTTCCGAGGAGGCCCGCTTCCTCTGCTCTCCCCCTCTGGGCGCGCCGCCGACTCTGTGGCCTCTCGGCCGGCGGACTCTTTCTGCTTGCAGTTGGCTGTGGCTCACCAAGTAAAAGGGACTTCAGAGTGAGGAGAGGCGACGCCACCACCACCACCACCACCACCACCACCACCATCACCACCACCACCACCACCACCACCACCACCACCACCACCACCACCACCACCACCACCACCACCACCACCACCACCACCACCACCACAACCACCACTTCGACCAAGGGGGCCACCTGCAGCGATGGGGTCCGCGACGTCTCCCCGAGCTGGGGACAGGGGAGGCCTCGAGCGAGAGAGGGGGACCACACCATCAGGAGGACCCTCCCTTCGGACGCGGCCCCGGCTGCCCTGGGCTGGCTGAACAGGACTTCTCGGCAGAGGGTCGCCCGCAGGCGGTGCAGCTCCGTCGTGCAGCGGCGACGGGGCTTCTGGCCGCCCTCCGACGCCGTGCCGCTGTGCCAGCCGTTCGTTGTGTGCCCTTCGGCGATCGGTGGTGCTAGCGCTGAGGCCAGAAAGCTTCTCCTCCCTCCTTCCGCTTCGTGTCCGAGGGCGTGATCTTCAGGGGAGGAGGAGGAGGAGGAGGAGGAGGAGGAGGAGGAGGAGGAGGAGGAGGAGGAAGAGGAGGAGGAGGAGGAGGAGGATGAGGAGGAGGAGGCATAGCTGCCGCTGCTCATTCTGTAGTGCCTTTGTCGCCACGGCTGAATCCGCCTCGAACTTCTAGTCAGAACGCACTTCGCGAGAGGTCCAGGGACAACACCCATCAAAAATCTTCAGAATAAGCAGCAACTTCCATAAACTCTAGCTTTCGACTAAGAAAATTGAGAATCTGGCCTGGACCCTGGACGTTTTCTCGGAGCTTCTTTTCCTGTGCAATAGAAGCTTCGTGCGCCTGGACCTGGACGTTACAGAACGCGCCTGGAGCAAAACCCGCTTTGTTGGTTTGAGCGCTTCTGAACTCCAAGCACGAGAGCAGCCACGTCGGTACTTTGTTGCCCCCCGCCTCGTGCCTGAGGACATGACCTGTCTGCGAAACTGACCGTCACCCCTGATGGCAGGGGCCCTGCCATGGCCTGCCTGCCGCTCCAGCGCCGGTCCCGTGAGGGAGCTCCAGTGGGTGACCCTGTCCTTCCTCGCCTCTCTCCTCCTGCTCGAGGAGGCGGTGGAGGGAGGAGAGACGGGAAGGAAGAGGAGGAGGAGGAATAATAATAATAGTATCCTTAACATTAATGAGAGTAGACGATTAAAAGACATCCCCCCCCCTCCCTCCCCCCTGTGGGTCCCTGATTCTTATGTGTGGGGTGGACGAATAAAATCGGGCATCGGAAACTATTTTTTTAATCGTCCTCCCGCCCGCCCCCCCCCCCGCCCCCCCGCCCCGCAACGCCCCTGGGCTCGCGCCGTGACGGCGTGCCGAAAACCAGCGTTTAAATCGCCTCCCCCCTCCCGTCCCGCCGCATTTTTTCAGGCGTCGCTTTGGGGCAGCCACACGCGGCGCAGTTTCGAGGATTCCTTCGGGTCCTTGTAGATACTCCATTACGAGGAGGGCCTGCAGTATTATCTTCATCGTGGTTCGACCTATTTTCTCCGCCTCGCTGCGCGGCGTCTAGATGATGCGACTTTGGTGCAGTTTCGTATCAGCCTTCCCCTCTCCCCTCGTCTTCTCCCCCGTTCCCTCTTCTCCTTTTCCTCCTGCTCTCGCCGGTGCTTTTGCACCCCTGGGATGACTGGATCATTTAACATTCCCAAAGCTTTCTTCGCCGATGCTACGCATGAAGCAATTCAACATTCCCAAAGCGTTCTTCGCTTTTGGGCACGCGGAGGAGAGGAGTGCGTGTCCGCCTGTGTTGCCGTCGCAAAAAAAGATTACGATGAGGAGTAGGAGGAGGAGGAGGAGGAGGAGGAGGAGGAGGAGGAGGAGGAGGAGGAGGAGGACGCGGAGGAGGAGGACGCGGAGGAGGAGGAGAAGGAGGAGGAGGAAAAGGAAACGAAGGAGGAGGATGGAGAGGAGGAGAAGGAGGATGAGGGAGGGGGAAGAGTGATGGGGGCGGGGGAGCTACAGCTTGCGCCGAAACTGTTTTCTTAATCGCCCCTCCTTCTCGCCTTTTGCGGCTGCGACGGCGCCGGTGGTAGCTGCCCGGGCGGCTTGGCCCCCGACGGCCTTCCAGGGCCCCCGACGGCACTCACGCGCCTGCGGCCCCCCCGCGGGGCCAGCAGATTTGTCAGGGATTGAGCCAATATCCGCCCACTCACATGTCGGTGCCGATACAGGGCGCCGCATGTGCGTGGGTCGGCCCGCCGCGGCGCCCCCTTGGAGGGGCAGCGGTTTTGTAAAATGTGTGGGCGTCCGAGTGGGAGCCGAACCTCAACCTCCACGTTCTGCCTGCCCTCTCCCTCCCTCATCACGCGCTCCCTGAGGTGCCGCCCCGGCGCAGGCGCGAAGATGGCAGGCACCTCGGGGGGCGCCCCGTTCCGCGAACCCCACTGCAGAGTGGGGATCCCGACCCCCCAATGGGGCTCGCGGAGCGGGGGCGTCGAAAGGCATTGCAACGTAAGGTTTCCCTGCCCCTATGACGTCCTCCGCAGGCCTGGGTGGTCCACTCAGGCCGCGGGGGGGGATGGGGGGGGGCATGGGGTCTGCGCGTCGTATCTCTATACAGCCTGTCTGGTGCCAGACAGGGGGGGGGGGGCTGTTCCATTCCCTCGGATGGGCACAGCCCCCCCCCCCCCCATTTCGCTTTTCCTCCCCCAATCCTCCTAACGTAATTCGATAAGTAAATGTGCGTATATGTGTATATCCTGGGATGCGCCGAGGCGCTCATGGCGGAAGTCGCGGGGGGGTCCGACGGGGGCTGGCGGACGTATTTTTCGGGACCGACGGCTCTATGCGTATGCAGTTGGTTATGTAAGCGGTTCCGCCGTCCCGCCCCCCGCCCCTCCACCTAGGACAACGGCCGCGGCTCCCCTGGACCTCCGCCCAGGGAAGCCGCGGGTCAGGGAGGCCCTGGGTGCCCGAGTGGCGCCCTCCCTGCGCTTCCCCTGAGCACTGTAGCTCCCGACAATACGGCTTGCGCCACAAAGCTGGCATCACGTTGCTCACACCGCGCGCGCATTGTGCACCACGTATGTTACACCACGAAATATTGCACCACATTGACCAGCACTTCAGGTGCCTACAACATACGCTCCACCACCTGGAAAACATCACTTAGCTTACGCCACATGTATGATACCTGAAGCTCCTGCAAAACAGGTTGTACCACGTAGGCACTATCACGTAGCGTGGGCCGCCCAGGTGAGTACTCTTGGTCATACCACATGGGTTGGGCCAGGTAGGGTGCACCGCGTCGATCACACCACATCTAGTGCACCACATCGACTGCATCTCGCAGCCTGCACCACATAGATTGCACCACGTGGTGTGCACACCACAACGCCTCGTCCCCTTCCTGCGCCGTCGTCGTCGCCGACGGCGGCGCGGGAGGAGGGCCGTCGGGCGCCTGCGCCGTCGTCGTCGCAGACGACGGCGCAGCCGCCCGACCCCTCTTAATCCTCCTCTCCCTCCTCGCCCACACTCTCGTCTTCCTCCCCCATCGGCAGCGGGGCCCGGCGCGCGCGTCGGGGCGCGCGCTCCGGCCCGGCGCGCTCTGGGCGCGCATGGACGGCCAGCGGCGGGGCCTCCACTGCCTCGGCTGGCTGCCCCAGCTGCGGGGCCTCGCTGGGCGCCACTCGCAGGCGCGGCAGGCGGCAGGCGGCGTCCTCCGCCTGACAGGCGGGGGCCTGCCTCCAGTGAGGGCGGGTTCAGAGGAGCCAAACAGGGGAGCCAAGTCGGACGACTCCGAGACGGCCGCTGCCTGGGCTGGCTTCCGGGAGGCCCGAAAGCGCGCTCGCGAGGAGCTGGGGGCCCAGCAGAGGTTGGAGGCGCCTTCTGAGAAACGAGGCCGCCTCCAGGAAGAAGAGGAAAGCGAGAGCGAGGCCGCCTCGGCCTCCCACGACGAAACGGGGGAGGAATGTGAGGAGGAAGGAGTTGCCTGCCGCTTGGATGGCGACTGTACGGCAGAAGAGTCCGAGACAGAGCCTAGCGAAGGCACGGGCTGCCCGCCGCAGCCTCGCGCCGAGGAGGCTGCCGATGAGGTGGGGGAGCTCGGGCCAGCAGCGGAGCCTGTTGGGGAGGAGGCCGCCAAGAAGGCGGAGGAGCTGGAACCATCAGGGGAGGCGGGGGGGGCAGAGGAGCGCGCCGCGGGCAGCCCGCCGCCCCCCAGCGACGGCGAGGCCGCCGAGGCGGCCGACGTGTGCAGCAGCGACGGCGAGGAGCCAGGGGGCGCGGCGCAGGCAACCCGCCCATCCTGGGCCGAACAGATTTTTTAATCGTCCACTTCCTGCGCTGTCGTCGTCGCCGACGACGGCGCAGGAGGAGGGCCGTCGTCACCTGCGCCGTCGTCGTCGCCGACGACGGCGCAGGCGACGACCTCTTCTTAATCCTCCTATCCCTCCTCGCCCACGCCCCTGTCCCCCCCTCCCCCCTCCCCCCTCCCTCTTTATCCCCCTCGTCAGCAGGCCGCGACGATCGCCCCCGTCGCGGCGGCGGGCGCGGCTCTGGCGGCGCGAGGGGCGGCGCGGAGGCAGCTCCAGCTCGCTCAGGCGGAGGTCCGGCGCGGCGGGCGTTCGGCCGCGGAGACAGCGCGGTGCAGCGGCCTCTGTCTGCCTTCTTCCCGAGCGCGCAGCCGCCCCCAGCGACCTGCTTGGCCTTCCTGGCCAGCGGCGGGGCGAGGGGCCCCAGGCCGAAGTCTGCCGCCGAGCTGCAGCGGGCCAGGGGGCAGAAGAGAGCGGCGCTCGCGCTGCGCGAGGCACGGGACAGACTGCGCGCTGCCGAAGAGACACTGGCGACCCCAGTGAATCGGCGAGGAACAGCCGCGGAGGCAGCCACTCCAGAGGCGGGCGGTGGCGCAGCCACACTTCCCTGCAAGGCCGACCCCTGCCCGAGCCCCCTCCCGCTTGCTGAAGCTGCAGAGGCCAGCGAAGAGACGACTCCGCTCACCGACGCACTGCCGCTGGGCAGGAGAGGGAGGCCCTCTTGGGTCTGCCGAGCCCCCCCCCCCGGCCTGGAAGGCAAGGGCGTGGCCAGGAAGGTGGTGGGGGCCAGGAAAGCAGGCGGCCTCGGCAACGCGACGGCCCCGACGCCAGGGCGCAAGCTCGAGTTGAGAGCGCAGGCGGGCGAGCTGGCGCAGCGGGGGGGGGGGGTCCCGTGGAGTTCTGGCGGACGCTGAGTGCTAGGACTGGGTGCACCGAGGTTCTAGGCCCCCTAGATGGGGACGGAGTGGATGGGGTCGGAGGATCGCGCCGCATCACATATGCATCGACAATGCGGCTCGATGCGGGGCCCGATTTACTTCGCGCCGACGTTGCCGATGCACCGCCGACGTCGACAACGCAGTGCTGGTGCATCGCATCGCCGATGCATCGCTGATGCATCTCCGATACATCGCCGATTTGTGGGCGACGCGGCGTGATCCTCCGACCCCATCTACTCCGACCCCATCTAGGAGGCCTTTAGAGGCTGCGCTGAAGCGGTACCTCTCCGAGGAGGAGCAACTCAGAGCACGCGCGTGGATGGGCCGGAACGCAGCAGAGCAGGCGAAGCGCTGGAGCTCGCAGAGGACACCTGGCTGGAAGAGGTTCGCGTCGGCTGACACGGGCGTCAGGGTGGGGGCGGGCGGCGGGGGGAAGAATGCGAAATTTCCCGACTGGCCAGAGCGCGAGCAAGGAGCGGCCCATTGGGCCAGGACTCTCCTGCTGACAGGAGTGGTGCTCAGCGACTATGACCTCCTGGGCGAGTTCCAGCTGAGGCTGGGGGAGGAGGCCTGGGACCTGAGGGCGAGGAAGACCGCCGGTGAGGAGCTCGGGGCGGGCCTGGGCGGCAGGCTCGAGAAGCTCGCCACGTGCGCGGCGGACCTGTCGAGCAAAAAGGAAGTGGGCGGCTACAGGAGGAAGAAGCTCTGCTTCGTGGCCCACCTGCACGTGCGCGCGCCGTGCAGAGTGATGCCCATGCAGCCAGAGGAGGCGAACCTCACCTGCCTGCTGACGCTACAGAGCTGGGACTACCTCATGGGCGTCGCGAGTTCCAGGGGCCCGGAGAAGCTGGCTGCCTTCGCGGACCAGCCCGAGGTGTTCAACCAGAGGAGGGCGGACATAGAGTGCCTGTTCTGGGGCGCTGTCCCCATCTACCTCGACTTCTCAGTCGGTGAAGTTTTGGCCCCGGCTGAGGCCCTGCGGGCTCCAAGGGGGGCGGCGCTGCAGCTGAGCGCGGCGGAGGCAGGCCAGCCAGACACGCTCGCCGTGGACTGGCAAGAAGCTAGCGACGCCCGCGGCAGCACGAGGCAGGACGAGTACGGACTGACTTGGGTCCGCAGGCAGGCGCTGGGAGGCCTGTTTCGGCTCCGAGAGGGGGGGCTGCCCGAGGGGCGCACCCTGCCTTCTGTGCTGCTGGTGCCCGCCGCGAAGCCGTGCAGGCTGGGGAACATCAGCGCTGACGGCCGCTGGCTGGAGGACGAGGAGTTCTACCGCAAGGGCGCGCTCATCCAGAGGAAGAATGGGGAGAGCGCGCGGGGGCTGGGCTCGGGCTGGGCGAAGCTGAGGACGGAGCGCCCGGAGTACTTCAGCCCTGACAAGGTCCTGGTCTGGCTGCGCCCAGAGGCGACGCGGGATGAGCTCATGTGCTGCTCGCTGGCTGACTTGGCGCCTGAGAACTCGTTGATCCAGTATCCAGGTGGACTCGCTGCAGGCGGAGCACGCAGAGGTCGTGAGAGCCAGACATTGGCTGAGGAGACAGATAAAACACGCCCTCGGACCGAAACAGACGCCCCGTCTGCAGGTGACGGACATCAGGTTCAGCAGGCTGGGAAAGGTAACCCAGGAGAAGAGGGCGTCCAGAGTGCGAGCCGCCGCGCGCCAGGTGGCGATGGCGACGGGGGAGGCGCCGACGATGGAGTCGAAGGGCCTCGCGCTGGTGAGCGCGCCCCTCGCCGTGCACGCTGCCTGCGTCAGGGGCAGCGAGGGCGCCCGAGGCGTGCTGAAGGCTCTCCGAATGAGCGGCGCCCTGGCAGCCGTCCCGAGAAAGGGCGGCCCTGGCCTGCGTCTGGCCACCGGCCCTGAGTGGGGCGACTTCGAGCTGGGGTCCTCTAGGCTGCGTGGGTCCGTCCCGCAGCAGAGGGCCAAGGACTTGGAACTCGCAGCGCCTGCCCCGCCCGACTGGCGCCAGCTGGCCGCCCTCCGGGATAAGCAACAGGAGGGGGCGCAGGAGCTGCGGGGGCGGGTCCCCACAAGCTTGCGAAAGGAGGTGGAGGGGGCGCAAGAGCCGCCGTTGGACTGGAGTGACCCCCAGCTCGACTTTTGCAAGGTTCTGGGCGCCTGGGCTGGCCCTGCCCTCACGCGAGCGGAAGAAGAGAGGGGGCGCGGTGTGCAGCCAAGCGGGCCCATCTTGGCGCACGCCCCCAGCGGGGAAGGGTTGGCGCTGGGCGACCTTGGGGGGGGGGGCCGAGATGCTAGCGCGCGCTCTGCGCCCGAGAGACAGGAGGAACCTGCTGATGACCAGGCTGTGCAAGGTCTACGGCAGGAAAACAGCCAGCAAGGGGGCGGCGCGTGCGAAGACGAATGCCACGCGGGCGCGCAAACGGCAGCTCAAGAGGGCTGTCGCACGCAGGAGGCGCAGGACTTGGCTGAGTTGCGGCGGAAGGTCGGGGCGGAGGCCGCTGTCAGGTCCCTCCTCCCTGCCATCGGGGGGGCCTTCGCGAAACCGAAGGCGAAGCAGCGGGCCAAGGGCAAGGCAGCCGCGAAGGGGGCCAGCGAGAAGGAGAACGCGAGGCGGGCCGAGCGGCCTGGCTGGCTCGCCGCCAAAGGGAGACGGAAAGAGGCCAGGAGGCGCCTGGGCCTCGCTGCGGCGCAGCAGGGCTGCCTGAAGAGACGCCGGAGGCGCGGGCAGGAGGGGGGGCTGGAGGTGCAGACCAAGCTGCCCCGAGCTCTTCGGCTGCTGGGCGCCCTGGGCTCCGCGCCGGGCCCCCCGTCGCAGCGCCGCAGAGGGGCGACTGCGGCGAGTGCGTAAGGGAAGGGGGGGCCAAAGGCGAAGCCCGCTGCCGAGGGCGCTGCGGGGAGCGGCGCGGCCTTGCGCGACCTCTCCTTGCAGGTGGCGGAGCTGGGCCTCGCGGCCAGGGAGGGCCTCGACAAGCTCGAAGCCGATAGAGGAAGCGCGAAGAGAGAGGCCAGGGCCAGGGGGGCGGGCGGCCCTCAAGAGGGCCGCCAGAGCAGCGAGGGACGCCGCGTCGCGGGCGACGGAGGCCGCGAGAGAGGCTGCCAGGGGGCGGCCGCCGCAAGGGGGGCGATGGCGAACCTGGGCGCCTGGCGCGAGGACCGAAGCAGAAGCGGAGGACGCCTTGCCGGGCCAGCCTGCGCCACCCGCGGCGCCTCGCCAGGGCGAGCAGGCGAAGGATGGGGCAAGAGGCAGAGGCCAGGGCCGCGGCTTCCTGGGCCGGCGCTGACGCAGAGGCGGGCGACGCCTGGCTGGGCGAGATCGGACCACCCGCGGCGCCGCCCCGGGAGGGCGCGGGAGAGGAGGCAGAGGAAGAGGCCAGGAGGACAGACTCCAGGGCGGAGCGCGAGAGGGCGGCGCAGGCGGACGCAGCGCAGAGGGCTCAGCAGGCAGAGGCAGCTGCTGCGCGGGCGCCCGTGCCGGGGGGCTGGGCGCGCGTGGGGGGCCAGACGGTGCGGCCCCGAACGCTATCTGGCGACGGCGGTTGCGTCGTAGCGGTGACGCCAGGGCCGCGAGGCGAGGGAGGCGCCGTCACCTTCGTGTCCACGCGGGAGACGCACAAGAAGCTCAGAGAAGTGCAGCTCGCACTGGGTGTGGAGCACCTGCAGAGGCTCCCTCTGCCACCGCGGGGCGAGCCGCGGAAAAGGGCGCTCGCTGAGCTGTCGGTGGCACAGGCAAGGCAAGCGAAGACCTTGTGGTGCGCTACTCACGAGGCTCTCTTGCATCGGGCGGAGAGGGGCGCAAAACTCGCCTGGGACGAGGTGGGCGCGGGCGCGTTCGAGGTCTTCTGGCGCCTCTTGCCGCCGGACACGGTCTGGCTGCTTGCCTGGCTGGTGACGACGACCAACGCCGCCGTGCTGGCGCAGGACGTGCGCCCAGAGACGGTCCAGATGCAGTGCGACTGCAGGGGGCTCGTCGAGAAAGCCAGATGCGTCCTCGCACCTGTCTTCGCGAACGGCCACTGGACACTGCTCGCACTTGAGAGAGGGCCGCAGAGCTGGGGGGCACTGCGCCAGCTGCAGGAACGGGGGCGCGGGGGAAGGGCGTGGCCCACGGGCCTCCGAGAGCTCATTGCGAGACCGCGCTTGGGCGCTTCTTGCGCGCCAGGTGTGCGCCCGCAGTGCGCTCGCGGGCCAGGGCCTGCGCCCCCCCTGGGGAGACGCACTTTTCTGTCTCGCAAGGAAGAGCATCCAGGGGAACCCTGACTGGACGCCGCTCTACTTCGACTTCCTGTGGCGGGAGCACAGGGCCTGCCGCGCCGCGGCGGGCTGCCTGGCGGCCTGGCTCGGCGTGGACAGGCTCTTGCGTTTCCCTGGATGCGTCCTGAAATCTATGCCCCTGCCCATCCGTCGGGGTGGGCCGGGCGCGGCGCGGGGGGGGCCCGGGGCGCCCGGCTTAGTCTGGCTGCGCCAGGAGGCGCGAGATGCATCCAGGGAGGGGCCGCCTCAGACAGGCCGCTCCCGGCGAGGGCAAACGTGGAGTTCCAGAGCGGCGCGCAGTGCGGCTTCTGGGCGCTGCACTTCGCCGAGGACGTGCGCCGGAGACGGTGCGGGCTCGGCTGCTGGAGCTCGGCCCTGGGAAAGGCACGGGGTCCGACTGCCGTCCAGGGCCCGCCCCCCGCCCCCCCCCCCCCCCGACGCCGCGCTGGGCGATGGATCGAGGTCCTTTGTGGACGCGCCCTCGAAAATTTAGCCGCCGCGGGCGGGCCCCATGCCTTTCCCATCCCGCAGGGGGTTGGGGCAGTACGACCAGGGTTGGCGACTGCAGCGCCTGCAAGCGGTCCGGGAGCGCATGAACCTCTGAGCAGGAGCTCGTGCGGCAGGCGCTTGCCTGAGCGGGCAGGGGCTCCCTGGCTCCGAGGGCGCCTGCCTGCCTTCGGCCGCGCGGGCAGCGGGGGAGTTCCTCAGTAGAGTAGGCTGACGACGGCCATTCTGGCCTCGCGGTGGCCTCTGCCTGGCAGGAGGCCAGCCAGAGATGCCGCTCACAGAGACAGACGCGGCGCGCTGACAGGAGCCACGCGGTCCTGTCCAGACAGGGGACCTCAGGGAACCGCAGGGAGTCTCAGGGAACCTCAGGGAGCCTCAGGGAACCTCAAGGAGGGCCAGGGAGCTTCAGGGAGCCTCAAAGAGCCTCAGGGAGCTTCATGTAACCCCAGGGAGCTTCAGGGAGCTTCAGGGAGCTTCAGGGAGCCTCAGGGAGTTTCAGAGAGCCTCAGAGAGCTTCTGGGAGCCTCAGGAGCTTCAGAGATTCTGTCAGAAATTGCGAAATCGTTTGATAAATCCTTACATTTCCGATTGCAAACCGAGTCGAACAACGCAAAACGCTTGATACACCCTCACCCGTCTGCCACATTTCTGTAAGAAACAACCAAATCGCCGGATGCATCCTCGCATTTCTGACGGCAAACCGAGTCGAACAACGCAAAACGTGTGATGCATCCTCAGGTGTATACCGTGGTCGGTGTTATCCGCAGAGACAGCCGCCGTAGGTGTGTGCCATGGTAGGTGTTATCTGCTCGCAGAGAAGCCGCTGTCGCCCTGACGGGCGGCCGCGCGCGTCCGGAAGGGCGGCCCTCCTCTCTCCCCCCCCCTCCCCTGCGTGGCCACGCAGCAGGATTTTTTCTCAATCGCCCCCCCACTACTCCTGCGGCCCCCGGCCCCGCCCCCTCCGCAGCGTCAGCCGCTCAGCCCGAGCCCGCGCCCCGCCGGCGGCCCCCGGCCCCGCCCCTTCCGCAGCCCCGACCGCTCAGCCCGACCCCGCGCGCCGCCGGCGGCATCATGTCGGCGGCGCCTGCTCCCTTCGGCTGCTCTTCGCCGCCGCCTGCTTGGAAAGCGAGCCTCGCCTGCCTCGACCCTTGGCGCAGCGCCGGGCAAAGCTCCAGGCAGAGGCCCAGCGCAAGGCAGAGGCCGAGCGCCAGCCGGAGAGCACGATCGGAAAAGGAGGCCGAGCGCCAGGCGGAGGCCGAGCGCCGGGCGGAGGCAGAGCAGCGGTTGCGGGCGCAGATCGGCGCCGACTTCCTGCAGCGGGCCGCGGCCCGCCAGCAGCGCGACCTCTCTGGCTACGGCGGCGTGCCGGGGGCGAGGCGGAAGAGCAGGCAGGGGGCCGCGCCCAGCCTCATCAAAACGACTTGCCTGCGGCAGGCGAAGATCGCGGAGAGGAGGGCCAAGGAGTGCTACGAAGACGTCTGAGCGGCCGGGGCAGGCAGGCCAGGACAGACGAGGCGACCACGCGGTGCGACCGCCGGCCGAGAGGGGGGCGCAGAGACGCTACTACTACTACTACTACTACTACTACTACTACTACTACTACTACAACTAACTACTTCTACTTACTCTTCTTCTACTACTACTACTACTACTACTACTACTACTACTACTACTACTACTACTACTACTACTACTACTACTACTACTACTACTACTACTACTACTACTACTACTACTACTACTACTACTACTACTACTACTACTACTACTACTACTACTACTACTACTACTACTACTACTACTACTACTACTACTACTACTACTACTACTACTACTACTACTACTACTACTACTACTACTACTACTACTACTACTACTACTACTACTACTACTACTACTACTACTACTACTACTACTACGACTACTACTACGACTACGACTACGACTACTACTACTACTACTACTACTACTACTACTACTACTACTACTACTACTGCTGCTACTACTACTACTACTACTACTACATCTACTACTGCTACCACTACTACTACTACTACTACTGCTACTACTACTACGAATACTACCGCTACTTCTACTACTACTCCTACTCCTGCTCCTCGTACTACTACTACTACTACTACTACTACTATTACTACTACTACTACTACTAGTACAACTGCTACTACTACTACTACTACTACTTCTACTACTACTACTACTACTACTACTGCTACTAGTACTACTACTACTGCTACTACTACTGTACTACTACTGCTATTGCCAGTACTACTACTACTACTACTACTACTACTACTACTACTACTACTACGTCGCTGCGTTGGAGTGGTCGAGAGTCGAGGTGTGCTGAGGAGGTTGCTATCGCTGCGGATGAAGCCCAGGAGGCTCTGGCGGACCTTCGTTTGCCTGTGCAGGTGAAAAAGGTGGGCTACGTCGCGTCGGGCGTGGCCGCGGGGAGCGCGGTGCAGCGCGTCGCCAAACAGCGCCAGATCACCAGGCAGCGTTGGACGAGGAACCTTGGGCGCGAGCTCGCGACGGTCAGGCCTATGCGCAGGCGGGAGGAGGCCATGATGAGCATGCTGCGTATTCGTGTGCGATGATTGCACATCCTCAAGCGCGCTGCTGGAGTTCGACGGATGGCACTGATCCAGAGCGCGGGCCTCGCCCCCGCGGCCCTCCACGGGGCGGCGGTGATGGGCGTGGCCGAGCGCGTCCTGAAGCCTGTGCGCACGCTCGCGGGGGCCCTTGCTGGAGTGACGGCAGCGGCATCTTTGACTACAGGCGTGGAGGTGCAGCGGGGCCCGCGTTATGATCCTATTTTCACGGCGACATTGGAGTTGCCCTACTTGTACGCGTCGTGGCTATGGGAAGCCAAGGTTTTTCTCACCCAGCTGCGTCGCGCATGGGAACTGGTGGTCTCTCGTATGCAGAAGGCCTGAAGCATGGTCTAAAGTAACGGCCACATTTTTCGGCGTTGTGGATGACACTCCGTCGAGTTGACTGGTCTATGCGATCGGCGCACGAGGTCATCACCGACGAGAACACGTATTTCTCTTTATTGGCTGTGGCGCCGCAGGACTTCCGCGATCTGCTGGGGGCTGGAGTCCAGCGGTCGCAGATGCGACGTGCCCAGCAGCACTTCCCAGGCTACGACGGAGAGGTGCTCTGGTATCGCGCTGTTCGTGCGTGCACGAAGGGTCCTCGCGCCGTGCGAGACTCAGCAGAGCTGGGGGCTTTGCAGTGCCTGTGGCCGTGCGCTATGTGGCCGAGAGAGAAGAAGTTTTGTCATGGCTTTGCGTCCTCACCTAATCTCTTGCTTGTAAGAATGGCCAGCCCGAGACTTGGGTCCGCCGGCGGCTAGATTGTCCGGCCTTGCCTGAGGGCGCGGAAGAGGATCCATTCGACGAAGACACGCGTGAGCATGAGCGTAGGGTCGCCGCGCGTGAGTTGACGCGTAAGGAGGTGTTGGAGTCGGCCGACCCCATTTTTTTGATTCGGCCCAGCACGCTTTCGCGCTGCCGCTGATCCCTCCTGCGTCTGAGAGGCCCGATAGAACTCCTGAGCAGCGGTTTGAATGCGGTGGCCCCCGGGGTTCCCTGGGAAGGCCCGGTCTACGCGGATGAGGCTGGCCAGGATATGCAGACTCCCGAGGTCGCGCGATGTGCTTGGGCGTTCGTGCAGCTTGATTCCCAGGGCCGCCCCTTCCAAGGCCAGGTTTGGAAGCCTCCCAGGGATCCAGTCAGTGCCCAGGGCTGCCAGGTATGCGGGCTTCCAGGCCATTCTTGCTTCGCCTCGTGTAACTAGAATTGCAAGTGATCGCTTGTCTCTGGTCCAAGAGGGTGAGCGGTGGAGCGGGAAAGTTGTGTCGGCCGCTGCTCGCTACGGTGAGATTAGGCGAGCCATGAGAGCCGCGGTCGAGCGGCAGGCCCGCCCCCCGCCCCGTTTCGCCTGGGCCCCGTCTCGCAAGACGCCCGAGGAGGCGCTCAGTCGTGGAGCGGGGGTTCTGGCTTGGGTGGGATACGCGTGGGCCGATTTCTTCGTCACCGTTGCGCTGCATGTCGTCACGGGTAGCCCTAACTTTGGCAAAAGGGCTCGAGCTGCGCCTCGCCAAGGCGGTGAATCGTGCCAGGCTTGTTGCGCGGGCTGGCAGGCGCGCGCTGGGCTCTGATCGGCGGGGCGGCCCCAAGGATGAACCCCGAGCCCGCAAGCCCCCGCCGAAGCCTCCAAGCCTTTCGCTTGTCTCTCATGATTTGGCGCCCGATGGTCAGGGCTTTCGCTGCAGGAATTGTAATCGCGCGGGGTTTTCGGAAGAGACGATCCGTGGTCTGCTGGCTCGCCCCTCTCGGCCTTCCGCCCTGTTGCGTGCTCGAGCTGCGGCCCTCTTGGCGGCGCGCAGCCCATCAGGAGCCGAGGGGGGCCCTGATCCCCCCTCGGCTCCGCCGACGCTTGCCCTGGGCCTGGCGGCCGCGGCGGCTTGTGCAGCGACTGCGCGTCGTGAAGATGCCAGCGCTTCGCGAGGTCGGTCTAAGCGAGGGCGTGAAGACAGCAGATCTCCCCGACGAGAGGCGCGTGCTGCCCCTGCCGCTGTCTCTGGAGGCGGTGGTGGTCCGTCGCCGTCGTCGGTGTCGTCGGAGGGTCGGTGGAGGTCCTCGGGCGAGGAGCGACGGGCCACGCTCGCGGCTCGCCTCTTCGGAGCCGCTGGGGGCACACCCGATGCTCGTGTGACGCGCGGCGCCGCTGGCCCCCCGCCCTTGACGGTTCCCCCGCCGTCGGCGGCGGCTGCTGCCTGTGCAGCGCGCGCCCCGCGTCAGCGGGGCGAGGGCTCCCGCCTGCCTGCCGCCGCGGCTGCCACCGCTGTA